GCGTTATTTGGACAGTCAGTTTAGGCCTGTATGGATGAATTCCTCCATCTGCCTAAATTTTGCCAGTATTCGGGGGGGGGGGGGATGGGGCAAGGTGGAGGTGTAAGACTTGCCAGGCCAAAATAATGAGTGAGGTAGGGGATAACACCATGGACACTATGAAAGGTCAATGTTCGTGACATTGATGTGTATCTGCAGTATCTGTTGTACGCATGCAGCATCTCTTATGTACATCAGAAGGGCCTATCTGTGGCTTTTTATTGCTACGAAAACTTTGGGGGCTGTTTGGTGAAAGTTCATTCGATTTCTTCTGGTGATCTGGAGTGCCAAAAAAACTTCGGTGAAAGGGCGTCAATGATTTGGTACTGTCAATCACACTCCAAAAGCTGCTCCCATTAGTTGTCCCAAGCTCCCACTCCCCGATCATAGGGTTTCAAGAATGGAAGGTGGCAAAATCAGTCTGTGGTCAATCACGCCGGTACCTCGGAAGCTACTAGCCAATTAAGATTCCAGATTACAAGCGGCAAATAAGACATCAAAGGAAATGTGCCTCCATAAAAATACGACGCTCGTCGGTCATTTATCACTTGTTCCAAGACATCACTGATATCAAATCTAGTCCTGTACGGTTTTCAACCACCATGCCTGTTTAAACTCGAAAACGGAGAAATTCTGGGAATCCTGTGCCACCGTTTCCCTGCATAACGTGTCGTAGAGAGGACGTTACATCTCAGCAGCATGCAGTGCAAAAGTGTCATTTACCAAGTGCTAAAATGTAAAAGTGGACAAAATAAAAAATTTCAACAAGTTAATCACGCCGCTGGGGTTGGGTCTGAGTTGGTCGTGGGTCAGGGTTAGTATTGGGGCCTAGTTGGCATGGGTTCGAGTTGGTTTGGGTCCGAGTTGACTCGAAACCCGCCGGAGGCCGACCGTCAACAACGTGGTCAAACATAACATTAAGCAGGACCATGCAGGCAGCAACCAGCAACGTCAGAGCGTGGCCCAACCATGAATGGGCGCTTTCTGAACAGCTACGCACGCGCACAATAGTTGGTTCGCACACTTTGTTCCAAGACCTTTGCTTTTTGAAACTGCCTCATTGTTACAGGCATACATATAAACGCATAGACCGTCAGTCTTGTGCGTATAACCGTGATTTTTGAAAAGTATGGGCAAAAATAGGCAAAATGATGGATGGCAGTGCGTTCAGTGCGTATTACTCGCAACGCACTTATTGTCTGTACATGTATTTGTTTACATGTGCTTCCAAAACAAACATGTTCAACTTCTTCCTTCTTTTCAAATATTGCAACCGCATTGTTTTGAATCCCTATGGGATAAATTAAGTAAAGTGAGGATTTTTTTACAATCGAAAAATGGTTTCATAGAATTTTATAGCTGAAATTCTAGAACTGTGCCTAAATTCCCCATACCGAGGGGTGAATTTGCCCATAGTTTTGCTTTTAGTTGGGTGCTGCGCCCATCCCGAAACCCCCTGTAGTTTTGAATAGGACCTAGTGGTCTATGCATTTATCTGTGCTCATTGTTTAAATCAAAATGGTGGATTCTGCGCCAGTATACACGGACAATAAGCTTGCTGTAACTGCACACATAATGAACAGCTATTTTGGTCCCCAAGTCTGAAGTTGTTATAGTCTCTCTACATACTGCTCTGCTTAAGTCTAAGCTAAAGTGCCTCAATCACAAGCTGAAATCATAAAAAAAGGAGCTTGGACTTAGACAAGCTAACACTAATATCAAACATGGAGCCATCACTATTTTGTAATCATTTTAATAAACACTCTTAAAGCCTCATTTTCAGAAGTCTGCTTGAAATCAACCATAAATAGTGTGGACAGCATTTATCTGACAGCTACCGAGCCAATGTCAGTGAGTCTGCAGAAGTCTTGCATTAAATACCCATATCTTTTCGAGGCCTGGACAAACTGTTCTTTGTTCTTGAAATTCAACAACTTTTCACCAGGGAATTCTGTTATTTCACATAAAAATTCATACTGGGTTAACTTATGAGTGAATTATTTTGAAAATTGGATCTTGTTTGTCCCATTAAACATTGTTGTCCATTTTGCCTTGATCCTGAATTATATCAACTAAAAATATTCAGAGAAAACAAGTTAGGTTAAACAGACATTTAATCAAAGTACTGAACCCTGCCCAGTGGTGTTTTGACAAGTTACAGTTTTGATATAAATTTGAAAAAGACCTCTATATGTCTGAATGCAGCACAAGGCTTGAACATGCAGTGTAGCACTGAAGAGGAATATGATCACTTGCTCACTGGATGGGCTACATGTTAGTGGATCCATGTATTGGTGTGATTTATTAATGATCTTCAGACTTTCATCATCTAATAGAATTTACATTGTGGAAGAGTTATCATTCATAACTAAATAAGATTGTATCCATTATCTCCTCTGTTTGATCCCCTTTCTTGGTCTAGCATTGGGATCTCTGCTCCTATTGCGGTTTTTATTCTTGACATTGGCTGTAGCATAGTAGTGCTGACCTGTCTTCTTGGATTGTGCTTTCCTTTCGTTTCGCCTCCGCTGATCAAAAAGAAACAAACGATTCTTAATATATAACATCCTGGCAAGTGTCTGTGGGAGATTTCCAATCCCAAATTAGTCTCCGTCTCAGGCTTCATCTCTGGCATCAATACTCACTTTAAAAGCTACCAGTGTTCAAGCAGAAATACTTCAACATTTGCATTGCTTGCATGTAAATCAACAGTTTGTTGACATTATTGGACTTACTAATGAGCTAACAGTTTCAAAGTCAGGCAAAGCCTAAGACAGAGATGAAGCCAATTTACTAAAAACTCTCATTGTGCCAACAGAAATTTTATCGCAAAGAAACAAGTCTTGTAGTGTTAATATTCAAATTATCTGAGGATGGGTCAAATAGGGTAGGATTCGATAATTCGTTCCATTCATCTCTTGCTAACAGAAGGAGTTTTTAGTCGGAGCAAATATTCCTTGACGGACGTACATGTACTCCAGTATTATTCTGTATGGATAATCTGGGTCCAATTCACATGCATTTGTGCGACATCTAAGGGCCAAGGCACAGGAGACAATCTTCACAGGAAACACAGAAATAAAAAAACGCACTGCAGGCACAGAGCACCTTACATATTAACACTGGGGTGTAAGTGGCCACATAGAAAGATAACAGCTGGTAAAGAAGCCAACATTTAAAAACTTCTCATAATTTTGTACAAAGCAGACATAAAAAAACCTAAAAATCATATAAAAAGCCGACTTTGAAAATCTTGCAAAAAAATGCACAAAATTAAATGCTGATGTTGCTTTCTTCCAGATTGGCTGGAACCATTTACCTGCATACTGTCTTCATTGACCAAAAACCTTGAAAATAAGTCTGGACTTTATAGGAAACCTAGAAAATTTAATTCAGTAGCAAGGACAGAGGTAGCAGGAGAAAGCAGAATAACTAGTATATCTTACGTCTCAACAGAGAGAATTTCTGAAAGGCACTGCCATCATTGAAGTTCAAAGTCTAAGTGTCAAATAATTTGACAGGAGTTGATGAACAATCAGCAGCTCATCAGCTGGGGGGGATAATTCAGAACAGGGAACGTTCCATTCAGAATGCTGTGTCCTTATTCTGAAACAGGAAGCCCTTCCGCTATGAACATTGCATTCCCACTGGAATGCTGCCTTTGCATGGTCTAAGCACAAAGCTCATTATTCCTGCTGAAAATGAACTGTCCAACAGAATGCAAACTTTCCCAACTTCTGAGACCCTTCCGTAACCTCTTCAAACAAATTGGGTGTTTTTACAAACATAACTGGCCCCGATGCCATACCTCATGTTTACACCACAATTCGTTTCCCAAAAAAGTTCATTTATCCTTAAAGCCGATTTTGAGGACCAAGAAAATCACGTGCTCCACTGTACAGCGTAAGTAAATGTGGCAGAGCCAATTTTCAGTTGTTATTTTATATGTACTCTTTATTGTTGAGAAGATAGGAGTAGTGCCCCTTAGTGAGGAAAACCCCATTTATTTCAGTCTCAGTTGGATATCCCCCTCCCCTTTCTTGGTAGTGTGTCCCCCTGTTTGTTTACTTTAGCCCAATGTCCCCATAAAGTTGCCTCCTGGACAAGGCAGTTCAGTACAGCAGACTAGCAGTGAAGTGTGTACATGTCCCTGTGGCTGTGTTCATCTTTCACCCTCTTAACTAGAGTGGTGCGTCCTGCTTGTGTTTTGTCTGCTCAAGTCATTGACTTCTTCTTGGAGTGTACTTCAAAGGCCACTTATACACACAGTGTTGGGTTTTGGTTTTTAGACTTTTTAAAGTTTTAGTCTTAGGGTGTTTTTTTAGTCATTTAGTCCTTTGGGTTTTTTTGCCTTTTCCTTGTACTTTTTCATTAATACATTAGATTTTTGTCACTTTTTTGAAGTCAAATATTGGGTCTGAGTCCTTATTAATTCAGTTTCCTGCAACTTTTCCTTCAAAAATCCTTAGTTTTGTTAAGAGGTTTTGCTGTTTTGTGAGTTCCCCATAGTGTGCCATTTTTCCCCGTTACATAAACAGGAAAACAAACTGGACAAGAAAGTAAGTAAATAATAATTGTTGTTACCTCTTTGGCAGTAAACCCTTTGCTCTGCTTGGCCTTCCTGCCATCATCCTCATCGTCTACTGTTTCAAAATATCGTTTCCTCATTTGACCTCTCTTGTCATCTTCAGTGTCCTCAACTTTGTCAAGTTTCAGGAAGGAACGTCCAACTGAAATGGTTGATAAATCACATGTATCAGAGATCTCAGGCAAACCCCAATGGTGAGCAGTATAAAAAAAAGCAACAGAAGACAGCAAATGACTGGGGATGGCATTGTGACTAATGGTTGCTGAAAAGGTTCTTTCTTCTTCCAAAATGTGCACTGAGACTTGTGGATATCAGTGTCTAACATAAAGGTGTCAAAGGGAATAACAGCCATTGTTAAGCCTTTTGTCATTGCTTATACAACAACAAAAGGTGGTAAGAGATGGTTTAACCCCTTTGCGCCAGGAAGCGGCTAGAGCCGTCGTAAAAATTGTAATTCTCAGCCCGCTTTTCAGCTATTATTCTCGGCCCACACTCGAGCGAACACGGTGAAAGAAGGCAGACCCTGGCTCTTGTATATATGGTGATTGGCGTTTGTGTGTAGCCTAGAAATGGAAAGACCGATTTTGCATCATAATCACCAGCTTCACAATAGTCCCCACTTTGAAAAGAGGCAACAGGAATGTGGATGGGTGAGTAGAGCTGCATGCCACCGAACAATCAGCCTTTTCACATGGTAATTCAAAGCGTGAAGAGCACGCACGGCCACAAACCGAGAATTTGCGGTTTGGCAGGTGGCCTTCGTGGCCAAGCGAGGCTGGAATGCTTGGAGTCGGCTTTCGGGAAGAAATTCCCATCGTCAAGGGGTTAAGTATGGTCTTTGAATAAACTTTTGATTATGCATAAAAATCAAAGTATCTGGGAAAAACCTGCTAATGTCAAAGAATTTGCAAATGAACTTAGGCTCTAGTCAAAATACGAGTTCTTTCTTACAATTTCTTACAATTTATGTAAGACTTGAAACTTGTCAACATTTTACCTGGTTTCTTTTTGGATGTTTTTGTTGCAGAGTTCCCTTCTTCCTTGCTAGATTCCTTGAGTTTCCTGGCTGCCTGAATGCTGGCTAACATCTTCTGATTGTCTCGACTGAGGAAAGCATTCACCCCAAATGCAGTCACACCAATATTGGCTGGCTCTGAGTTTGGTGCACTAGACTTGTACTTGGCTATCATTTTTTCCATGGAGGGTGCTTTGAGTTTCTGAGTCTTTGATTTTGGCCTCTTTCTGTCCTTGTCAGGGACAATTTCAGTCACATCTTCAGCAACTGGATCTGTTTGGGACCGTTCTGTGTCAACTTCTCCAGTACTGGCCACAAGGGGGCTTTCTACGTCCTCTCCGCTAGTGCTCACAGGCGAGCTTCCTCTTCTGTTTTCATCTGGCTGCAAATCATCGCTTGCAAAGTCCACCCCTATGCTAATGCCACTGAAATCCTGATGTACTGATGAGACACATTTAGTGGCTTGCGATTTTTCAGAAGCGGTGTTTTTATCCACTGAGGAGGTGATGGTTACTTCACTTTGTGAGGTTTCTGGGGGTCCAACACTTTTATATTCATCACTGGGAACTGTCATCTTTGTCTTATCTGACACACCTTCCTTCTCATTTTCTGGATCCTGTAAACAGAAGACATTTTCACTTTTAAATGTATAGATACAGAGATATTGAGAACAAAAATCTGAATTATAAAGGCAGCTTACATGTAGATTAACCCTCCTTTGGTTTTACAGCACAAATGTGCACAAATGCCCGTAGTCACTGGTGAGCATGTATTTTCTATATAGAACTCAAACATGCACAGGTTCAGTGTGTACACAGTAGATTGCCAGCACAAAATGACCCAGGGTCTTTT